CAACCATCAGACCTGGCTAACGATAACTTTAGTGCATTATTTGATCAGGCCCTAGCATCACCCCAGTATCCTCCCTCCCTTCTTTTGTGGTTATCGCCACATGCAAATGGCCTCCTCACCACCATACTTCTCTGCTGTCTCGCCTATCTCAGGCCTAGTGCCTTCTGAATGTATTGTGTTAAAGATTACAGCACCTTTGGAAGGGAGGGAAGGCAACAGGACTGGGCAGAGAGAGACTGACTTGCAGGGAGGGCTGTCAGTAGTGGCTCAGGGGCAGCTCTGGGATTAGATAAGCCCATCTTGGTTGTCTGGATCCCAATCACCAACTCTTTTCTGCCTCGTCCACAGTCAATGGCTAGATGGGAGCTGTCCTGGGAGAGGTCTAGTTAAAGCAGTTTTAGGCAGTTGAGCAGACCCTGAGGGGCCACAGCCAAATGCTGTGTTCCAGAAGCTCCCCCTCCCAGCAGCTGGGACATTGAAAGGAATGGGGTCTTATCAGGTCAGAGTGGGTCGGAACCAGACACTGCACACCCCTCCCCACACACCCAACCCCTCCACCCCCACCATGGCATCCGATACTGTGCCCCCACCCAGCCCCTCCACCCCTACCATCTAGATAGATGCATTCAAAAAAAGTGTCATTGTTTTTGTACCTTCGCTTTAATTCTCATTTCCATACATTGAGATGGGCTTTCCTTAATTATGAAAGGTTTTAGAAAAACACCCGCTTCATTAGAACAAAGTATAATGACATATATGTGTGCTGTTGCCCTAATGAAACCCATTACTTTATGTGCTAACTTAAAAAATTAATAAGACAAAAGGAAAGAAAAAGTTCTTGTTTCCACTGAATCGGCCCAGAGTAAGGGGAAAAAATAATCTTTTCCATGGCCAGGGCCAGCAGCTCTCTCTCCGTCCCTCGTGTTGGAGCAGACTCATTTCGTCACTCAGAGGTCTGGGGAACATTGTAGACCTTTCCTTTGAGCTTCTCTTCGACAGTTTGGCATCTGACCCGGTTTTCATGTTTCCCTTGCTTTTCTGTGCTATGTTATTTCATTTGTTTTCAAAGAGACTTTAAGATTCTCGAGTTTGAGCTCTTTCAAACAGAGCCGTAGGACCACCAAGCATAGAGAGGATAAAACTTACAAGGGAAAAAGTACCTGTGAGACAGTTCTATTCTGTAGTTTCCCACAGATGCGGGAATGTACTGTGTTCACAGAGTGGGGCTGTCCTTGTCATGAAGGAGAACAAAGGCAGGAAGCCAGAGCCTCCCCGAAAGCGCATCCCAGAGGCTGGCCGGGGCAGAGAGAGGGCGGGTTCTCCACAGAGGGTCCAAGAAGGTTCTAGAAAAAAATCCACAGTGGTGCAAGCTATACGATTTAAAGCATGATTTTATCTACAAAGTGTTGGTTGAGTTCTTGCTGTATAGAAAGTCAACATTGTCACATCAGAGAAACTGAAGAAAACGGAGGGCAGAGGTGCCAGATTCTGAAAGACTAGTGACTATATATAAAATACTTTCTTTCAAGTTAGAATTTAATTTTTTGTTGTTGTAACTTTGAAAAATGAGTTGTTAGGGAAAATGTGCTATAGACTCCAGGCCATTACATTAAAAAGAAAGCATTTGAAATATGATTTGTAGTAGATTTTCTTCTTCATTTCTATATGTACATTCTCTTTGTTTTTAAATTATTAGTAATTATTATTATTACTTACTCTTTTTGAGACAAAGTCTCCCTGTAGCCCTAACTGGCCTGGAACTCGTTATGTAGACCAGGCTGGCCTCAGTCTCACAGAAAGCTGCCTGCCTCTGCCTCCCGAGTACTGGGATTAAAGACATGTACCACCACACCCAGCTTTTTAAAAATTATTTTTGATTTTATGTGTGTGTGTGTGACTGTATGTAGTAGGTACCCTCGGAGGTTAGAGGTGTCAGATCTCCTGGAGCTGGAGTTATAGGTGGTTGTGTACTGGCCCACATGGGTTCTTGGATCCAAACTCAGATCCTCCGAGAGAGCAGCAAGCACCCTTAACCACTGAGCCATCCCTCTAGCCCCCAGATCAAGGTTTTTAAACAATGTTTTACCTGTCAATTACAAACATGATGGCCTTCTTATTGTATGCTGTCAGTTGTCCATTCTTTGAACATGTCCCTTGGGCCCTGTGACCTCATCCACTTGAGATTTAGGTCCCCAGTGAACTGGAGTGTGTGTGTGTGTGTGTGTGTGTGTGTGTG